TTGGCATTACAGTTCAGAGTTTTAAATATAAACAGTACACTTGAGAAGATGTGTAGTGACTTAATATCTAACATATTCAAAGATTTAAGTAAGGGTACCGAGTTCTGTCTGGGAGCCAGAGTTTGATATTGTTCTAATTAGCAGTTTTATGTTGAGTAATTAGAGGACGTAGATGATTTTGGGTAGTAGAACCCCAAGCACAAATACCATAGTTGAGATAAAAATAGATGAAAAAGTAATAGAGCGTCACCAGAGCAGGGCGAGATACATAATATCTGATCTTAGGAAGAATGCCAACAGTTTTAGAAACTTTTTTGCTATATTTAAAATGTGGCTCTGGAGATTCAGCTTGTTATCAATGAGAACACCAAGCAATTTACCATCTACTTTGGTACTAATCTGGATATTGTTTATTCTTAGATTAATTTGATCTGAGGATTTATTACCAAACAGAATATAGAAAGTTTTGTCAATGTTAATGGTGAGTTTGTTAGTAGTTAGCCATAGACGGACATTATTTAGTTCACTATTCCCTGTATCATTCAGAGTGACTCATTCACTGGATGATTACCATCATTCAGAGTGACTCATTCACTGGATGATTACGATCATTCAGAGTGACTCATTCACTGGATGATTACCATCATTCAGAGTGACTCATTCACTGGATGATTACCATCATTCAGAGTGACTCATTCACTGGATGATTACCATCATTCAGAGTGACTCATTCACTGGATGATTACCATCATTCAGAGTGACTCATTCCCTGGATGATTACCATCATTCACAGTGACTCATTCACTGGATGATTACCATCATTCAGAGTGACTCATTCACTGGATGATTACCATCATTCAGAGTGACTCATTCACTGGATGATTACCATCATTCAGTGACTCATTCACTGGATGATTACCATCATTCACAGTGACTCATTCACTGGATGATTACCATCATTCAGAGTGACTCATTCACTGGATGATTACCATCATTCAGAGTGACTCATTCACTGGATGATTACCATCATTCAGAGTGACTCATTCACTGGATGATTACCATCATTCAGAGTGACTCATTCACTGGATGATTACCATCATTCAGAGTGACTCATTCACTGGATGATTACCATCATTCAGAGTGACTCATTCACTGGATGATTACCATCATTCAGAGTGACTCATTCACTGGATGATTACCATCATTCACAGTGACTCATTCACTGGATGATTACCATCATTCAGAGTGACTCATTCACTGGATGATTACCATCATTCAGAGTGACTCATTCACTGGATGATTACCATCATTCACAGTGACTCATTCACTGGATGATTACCATCATTCACAGTGACTCATTCACTGGATGATTACCATCATTCAGAGTGACTCATTCACTGGATGATTACCATCATTCAGAGTGACTCATTCACTGGATGATTACAATCATTCAGAGTGACTCATTCACTGGATGATTACCATCATTCAGAGTGACTCATTCACTGGATGATTACCATCATTCAGAGTGACTCATTCACTGGATGATTACCATCATTCACAGTGACCCATTCACTGGATGATTACCATCATTCAGAGTGACTCATTCACTGGATGATTACCATCATTCAGAGTGACTCATTCACTGGATGATTACCATCATTCAGAGCGACTCATTCACTGGATGATTACCATCATTCAGAGTGACTCATTCACTGGATGATTACAATCATTCAGAGTGACTCATTCACTGGATGATTACCATCATTCAGAGCGACTCATTCACTGGATGATTACCATCATTCAGAGTGACTCATTCACTGGATGATTACCATCATTCAGAGTGACTCATTCACTCGATGATTACCATCATTCAGAGTGACTCATTCACTGGATGATTACCATCATTCAGAGTGACTCATTCACTGGATGATTACTATGAGGCGCAAATTTCAGAGAAATGATGGAACGATATCGGAAACGCTCCTAAAAAAAAAAAAAAAAATCCCAAGCGCGAAACAGAAAAAAAAATCCTTATTCTTTATTCACGCCTGGGGGGGGGGGGTTTGTTCCAGTTTCAAACTTCCTTTTTGTCTACACACTGTGAAGCAAAGCAGGGCTAAAAATCTTATCTGGCTGATGGGTTAGTCGGGTACTGATAATGAGTGCTCGCTCGGGCCGGGAATGAGTTTTGTGCTGCTTAGGGAATACGTACCTAAGGGGGGGGGCAGGGGCCGGGGGGGGGGGGGGCAGGGGCCGGGGGGGGCAGGGGCCGGGGGGGGAGGGAATAAATCACAGCTTTGGGTTGGTTGAAAATGGTTTAGAATCGGCCGGATGTAATCCGGTCTCTCGTCACATTTATTGTATATATTTAATATGTTATCGCGATCCTCGTGAAACTAAGTATATTTGGGAGCAATTTGAACACATTCTATAAGAGGCGCCATGAAAACTCTCCAGAGAAAACGGGATGTACTCACCTAATTGTGCTTGCGGGGGTTGAGCTCAGGCTCTTTGGTCCCGCCTCTCAACCGTCAATCAACAGGTGTACAGGTTGGATGTGTGGACTAACACGTGTGTTAGTCCAGCTGGCACCCTACATATATGGGCTCTACTGCTCACATAACCTTCAAGATGATTCAAAACACTGTCACTGTCGTGTTCTTCAAAAATGTTCTTCATAACCTGAATGTGATCCGAGTCACACACCATAACATATGCCGCTAGAGATGGTGTTCTCATAAATTAACTTAAATAGACACTTCGACTCCTAGCAATCTATTTGGACCTATTGACAAAAATATAATATAGGAGTGACAATGTGCAGTGACAAATTGACGATAAAAACCTTACCAAACCTATCCTACATCTAACGAAATAACCTTGGCCAAATATATAATGTTCTATATTAGAACCAAGTTATCAGTCAAACCTGCAAATACACTCAAAGGTGAACATAAAACATGACATGCTGTTCCACCCATAAGGTTATAAACCCCATGGAACCGCCTACCCGCCCAAGCCCTAAATCCCAAAAACAACTTCAGTTCAAAACGCCCGCTGGAAAATAATCAACAATGGAGTACCTTAAACAACCCGCCGGCTTCCTGTCCTCATCGAGGCCACTAGATACAAGTTAGCTCTCGGGTAAATTCAGGTAAATGTATAGAGAGGTGCAGAGAAGTTTTACAACCCAGACGTTCCCTTGTTAGCAATATAATACCTGATATTAAAACATAACAGAGAACAGAGTGTGTGTGCGTGCCTGAACTCTGTAATATCCAGCGTTACTGTGCACCTGCCACTGGGGGGCTGGGGTTAGGGCTTTGTGTACTGTGCTGCTTCTCCACCACCGCTCACACCATGGGGTGCACAATACACTACCACCGCTCACAGGATGGGGATGGGGCGCACAATACACCACCACCGCTCACAGGATGGGGCGCACAATACACCACCACCGCTCACAGGATGGGTGTGCACAATACACCACCACAGGATGAGGATGGGTGTGCACAATACACCACCACCGCTCACAGGATGGGTGTGCACAATACACCACCACCGCTCACAGGATGGTGTGCACAACCCATAACACTGTCAAAGATGTCATTTATACCGTCCATAGTAGTCACGTCACCCTCTCACGTGACTAATAACTATCCCGGCTAGTTACAATACAGTAACCACCTGTCGTAGTCAACCACAGTCGCCTCTACACCCTTGGCCCAGCCACGTGGGCTGGACGGTAGAGCGACGGTCTCGCTTCATGCAGGTCGCCATTCAATCCCAGACCGTCCAAGTGGTTGGATACCATTCCTTCCCCCCCCCCGTCCCATCCCAAATCCTTATCCCGATCCCTTCCAGTCAGTTATTCATAGTCATAGTACGGCTAATCACAAAATATTCATTACCAAAATGGTCTAAGATCTGGGCAAACTAGTCGGGACCATTTTGACTAGTAGATAGACTAGTTTGACATTAGTCAAACTAATGATATTTAACTAAACAATCCAAACTCTCCATTGACACGTGTATCATGGATGTATTCATGAGGATACGAAACAATGCATCATCGGAATATATGAAATCTATATGTTTTAAGCACATTTATGGGCCGAGAGGCAGAGAACATAATCCAAACACGACTTGAATAATACACACACACACACGGACACACACGCTAGGGAAGAGCCAGACAGACGGGGCGAGTTTGGTTAGGGGGGAACGATAAAGTTTGGCTAATTTGGTGAGCACTTTCCCCCACATACCCGAGAGGTCCTGTGTTGTGTTACGCCAGCCCTCCAAACTGTTGTGTGGAGGAGGTGGGGGAAAGCTGAAGAGGAAGAGGGAAGACTGAAGAGGAGAGGGAGATGGCCATCTAGAAGATGAGGAAACTGTATAGGTGTAGAGGTCTGAGGTAGGACATACTGTATAGGTGTAGAGGTCTGAGGTAGGACATACTGTATAGGTGTAGAGGTCTGAGGTAGGACATACTATATAGGTGTAGAGGTCTGAGGTAGGACATACTATATAGGTGTAGAGGTCTGAGGTAGGACATACTATATAGGTGTAGAGGTCTGAGGTAGGACATACTATATAGGTGTAGAGGTCTGAGGTAGGACATACTGTATAGGTGTAGAGGTCTGAGGTAGGACATACTATATAGGTGTAGAGGTCTGAGGTAGGACATACTATATAGGTGTAGAGGTCTGAGGTAGGACATACTATATAGGTGTAGAGGTCTGAGGTAGGACATACTATATAGGTGTAGAGGTCTGAGGTAGGACATACTGTATAGGTGTAGAGGTCTGAGGTAGGACATACTATATAGGTGTAGAGGTCTGAGGTAGGACATACTATATAGGTGTAGAGGTCTGAGGTAGGACATACTATATAGATAAACACATATGAGTAGAAGAAACCAAGGAATGAACTTGAGCTTGTACAAGCCACCATATAGACTAACTCCTGTCTCTCTCTCTCCCTCCCTCCACTCCCAGCAGGCAGCCCTGGGAACCTTCTGAGAGGAGTAACAGTGCCCCAGTACGCCTTCGCTGGGGGCCAGGCCACACTCAGCTGCTCCTACGACCTGAGAGCCACCCGCCTCTACTCCCTCAAGTGGTACCATAACAGTACAGAGTTCTACCGGTACGTCCCCACCGAGAGGAACGCCCCCATCAACATCAAGCCTACTCATAAGTTCTCCGTCACCGTGAGTTCTCTCGCTATCTACTCCCAGTTTATGCTGCTGGAGTGTTATTTTGTCGTTCTTTTTATCCTTCTGGAGTGTTATTTTGTCGTTCTTTTTATCCTTCTGGAGTGTTATTTTGTCGTTCTTTTTATCCTTCTGGAGTGTTATTTTGTCGTTCTTTTTATCCTTCTGGAGTGTTATTTTGTCGTTCTTGGGTGTTCTTTTTATCCTTCTGGAGTGTTATTTTGTCGTTCTTGGGTGTTCTTTTTATCCTTCTGGAGTGTTATTTTGTTGTTCTTGGGTGTTCTCTTTATCCTTCTGGAGTGTTATTTTGTCGTTCTTTTTATCCTTCTGGAGTGTTATTTTGTCGTTCTTTTTATCCTTCTGGAGTGTTATTTTGTCGTTCTTTTTATCCTTCTGGAGTGTTATTTTAACGATGTTTGCTATTTATTGTGTTATTGGCATGTTCTTCACTAATTTATGTACTCATAATTTGCAGAGGTTAATGGTGTTATTGTTGAGCATTGTGTAGTTCTCGCGCCTTGTAGCGGTGACTTGCTGCAGTGTGGTGGGTCTATAGTGTAGCACAGCATCTACTGTGCGCTGTGCTACAGTTGTACACACTTGTAGAACTCTAAGGTGCCCTGTACACCCCCCCCCCCCCCACAGTATGCAGACACCTGTCTGTGTAGACATCTGCAAGAGTATTCCCGCGTGCGCGCACATGTGTAGGCGTGCGTGCGTGCGTGCGTGCGTGCGTGCGTGCGTGCGTGCGTGTGTGTGTGTGTGTGTGTGTGTGTGTGTGTGTGTGTGTGTGTGTGTGTGTGAACGCACAAGAGTGCACACAGAAACAGTAATTAAAGTTTGCGACTGCTGCCAGAGTCTTTCAGACTGTTCAGTGCCAGAAGGGCGTAAGCGCCAGCTATTGAATTTCTTACGTGCAATTTTGTTAGTTCTTTTTTTGTTGTTGTTGTTTCTTTGTTTCAGGTGTTTCGCAGCGTGTGTGGACGATGTTAACGATCTGAGTGAGTGAGAGTGTGTGTGCGCGTGTGTGCGCGTGTGTGTGTGTGTGTGTGTGTGTGTGTGTGTGTGTGTGTGTGTGTGTGTGTGTGTGTGTCTGTGTGTGTGTGTGTGTGTGTGTGTGTCTGTGTGTGTCTGTGTGTGTGTGTGTGTGTGTGTGTGTGTGTGTGTGTTGGGAGGCCGCTGTGAAAGTGGACGCACAATATATTCACCATTAATGTACCCTCAGGGCTCTCAGACCCCGACCTTTATGCTCCTCAAGCTTCCATGTTGAGACGCACTGATCTAAAGTTCAGCTTAACGCGGCTTAGGATTCCTTGTGTGCTCTATGTTGCAACATGCATACATGCACAAGAGCCAGCTTGATGGGTGACCCAGCTTGATGGGGTGATGATGGGGGGCCCAGCTTGAGGGGGTGGTGATGGGGGACCCAGCTTGAGGGGGTGGTGATGGGGGACCCAGCTTGAGGGGACCCAGCTTGAGGGGGTGGTGATGGGGGACCCAGCTTGAGGGGACCCAGCTTGAGGGGGTGGTGATGGGGGACCCAGCTTGAGGGGTTGATGAAAACTGTGGCAGCAGTTTCCCGCCATTTCCAGCGCGCCATTGGCCACTCCCGCGATATTGTCCACATTCTAACATTCTCAAGCACCACCTGGAAAATGTCTCCCTATTCTAGTGTTGGATTTGGTAAAAAAAAAAATCTATATAAATTTCGTGGATGATATTTTTCGTTTTTAACTTTTCATAAATATATTTCGCCAGGAATATAGATCTACCAAATATATCCAGTTGAATAATTGTATTACTACACATATCTACTATTATGATATTGACTATTGCTTCAATATTTAACTCTGACACTCAATATGTATATTATGTATATAAGAAAATGTTTCTGTGCAAGGTTAGGGCTAGTAGCCTGACGTAACTTTCCCATAGTGATAATTGATCTTATGGTGTCATAGATGAGTCAAAATAGGCACCTTTGTCTTCCTTAAAGAGGGGGGCTCGACCTCCACATACCCCTTCACGAAATGGGAAGACACGAATGAGAGAATGGGCAGACATGAAATGTCCCACCCATAATCTGTATTCAGATATTAACATGAAAACGGATTTTCAGACGACAAATTTGCCGTTCTGGGCACAACCTTTTTGTTTACAGTGATAGGGGGAACATAGGGCAAGTGTGCATGGGAGGATATGGGTAGGTGGAGACAGGTATGGTGTGGAAATCATTATAGTGATGAAGACAGTGTTGTGAAAATGGTTAGTGTGTGAGGGTGACGGGGGTGGGTGGGTTGGGAGAAAGAGATTGTGGAAGATGGGTGGATGGCTGTGTATGGGGGAAGATAAGAGGGAAAGTGGGGGGAGAGACAGGGAGGGTGTGTGTGGGGGGATTGGAGTGGCGGTGTTTGACCCTGGGGTGACGGGGAGGGTATGTTGGAGGAGGGGGGAGGGGGAAGATTGGGATGGTATATGCTAGGGAAGGCCTGGGCACAGGGGCGACCCGGGCACCGCCGGAGTACCCCCATCTAGTACTCTAATAAATTAACCAACACCTCACTAGTTTGAGGGGATTAATTTACTTAGAATTTCATTATATTGTTAAACCATGCATTAATCCTATAAGACCCATATCCCTGTTGACATTAGAAGGGGATCATATTCCACCCGCCAACGTTATTCACTTGTATAAAGGGATACGACGGGGGGGATTGAATTGTCTTTTAACCGTCGACTTAAACAGATTTAGAGGACTGTAGGCCGAGTCCCACTGAAGGTATAGATTTGGTGTTGTGACTTGTACTCTGTGCGATTATGGAATTTTTGGGTTGGGGGTATGGGGGGGGGGTAGAGGGGAGAGGAAGGAGGGGAAATATTTTCCATTTATTATATCAGGTTCTCTCTCTTCCTTCCATCATTTCCTTCATACATATATATATACAAGATTAGTTCCTGCTGTTCTTTGGCTTACGTCTACTCCTGCGTTATTATTGTTGCATTGCATCCCTTTTATCACCCGCTCCTTCCCCATACTTCCACTTCCAACGTTTATCATTTAATTTTCTCTGCGTCTTGTTCTTTATCACCATTTACGCCATCTTTACCTCATTTGTTACAATTGTCTCGCATCTTTCCTCGTATAATGAGTTTTATGGCGTATTTCCTAAACGTTTGTCTTCGTTAGTCTCTCCCCTCCCCCCCACCCGACTCTTTCTCTCTCGTTTACTTAATTGGGACAAGTTAAAAGAATGGCAATTAGAGGAAATTGCTAATTAGGAGCTTAGTAAGGTGGAGTGAGGAGCGTTGTAGTGCTGGAGGACATGCAGAGAGAGAGAGAGAGAGAGAGAGAGAGAGAGAGAGAGAGAGAGAGAGAGAGAGAGAGAGAGAGAGAGAGAGAGAGAGAGAGAGAGAGAGAGAGAGAGAGAGAGAGAGAGAGAGAGAGAGAGAGAGAGAGAGAGTTAACTAATGTTAGTGGCTGCCAAGAGCTTTGTTGCCAACTCACCTGGGGCAGTGTTCAGTTTTCTGTGGCTGGTCTTGAAGTGCCTAGAAAAATAAAGAGTCCACCCTCCCCCCCGGGGAAGCAGAGGAGCCGGCGGGAATCCCTGGCTTCAGAGACGGGAAATATCATCACCACAACTCCTTTTGCAGACACTAGTTTACCAGAGGTGCTTGTTTCCTTGTATGTAATCTGTTCTTGAACACCCGTTCCTTGAGGCGTTTCTCACTTGTCTGTCATCTCTGTCTCTCTCACCAGGAGCTGTTCCGTAACGACCAGAGGGTGACGCTCTCCTTGACCCGGCTCTCTGTCTCAGCCTCGGGTCACTACCGCTGTGAGGTCATTGCTGAGAGTCCCAGCTTCCGCACCGAGTGGTACAGGGCCACCATGACCGTCCTGCGTGAGTCCCCAGCGCTGCCCTTGTCACTACCATCACTCTCCTCCATCTTCACTACCATTACGCTCCTTCCATCACTACCATGACTCTCCTCCATCACTACCATCTTCACTACCATCACGCTCCTCCATCACTACCATCTTCACTACCATCACGCTCCTTCCATCACTACCATCTTCACTACCATGACTCTCCTCCATCAGTACTATCTCACCATCACTACCATGCCACCATCACTCTCCTCCATCAATCTCCATGAATATTGTAAATGCCCTCAATGACTACTACTGATATCAATCACATTAATGATAATACTCACACAGAAAAAAACCCATTAACGTGACACATATCAACGAGAAAGTTCACTAAGGCACTGAGGTGGACGCGAACCTCCGTTAGTGTGTTCTACAAGTTGAGAGTGTAGGACGACTCTGGTCTTCCAGCAGAGTGCTTGTGGGGGGGTCACACGTAAACACGTGGACTGGCTTCAGTAAGGGCCTCTACACTTCCTCCGATTTATGTGGAAATTCAGTAGTTTGGATGACTTTAACGAGGCTGGTCTAGTGGTAGAGTATGCGGCTTGGCGGTGCTAAAGTCGTAGGTTCGAGTCCATCTCATCGCCCTAGTGAATTTTATCAATAATAATACAATTTTAAATCAGAAAGTTAGCATGATTCACTGAAGCACAACTGTATTACAATTTAGACAGTATTACAGCAATCGCATCAAATGATGCTATATTATATAAATATGGTCTAGAAGTTCCATTAATCAATATAAACGGATTTCTATGATAATTCTACGAGAGAGAGAGAGAGAGAGAGAGAGAGAGAGAGAGAGAGAGAGAGAGAGAGAGAGAGAGAGAGAGAGAGAGAGAGAGAGAGAGAGAGAGAGAGAGAGAGAGAGAGAGAGAGAGAGAAATAAAAATTATAGATGACAAATTATTCATTAAACATCTCCGCCCCCCCCCCCCCCTCCTCCCTTCTCACACATCCTCTCGTGAGTAATAATAATTTCGGTAATTATTTGAAATTATAATTTTCAACGAAGAATTATAAAGTAGAAACCCTCGGGCACACACCCACCACAGGCCCGCCACAGACTCCACCACAGGCCCCACCACAGGCCCACCACAGGCCCGCCAGAGGCCCACCACAGCCCCACCACAGGTCCACCACAGGCCCGCCAGAGGCCCACCACAGCCCCACCACAGGCCCCACCACAGACCCGCCACAGGTCCACCACATGCCCCACCACAGGCCCGCCACAGGTCCACCACAGCCCCACAACAGACCCGCCACAGGCCCCACCACAGGCCCGCCAGAGGCCCACCACAGACTCCTGGAATGCTGCATAATTTTGATCTTTCGTGAAATCGTGGACGAGCGCCTCCACCATTAGCCAACTTCCCTGCCCCCGGCAATTATATACAATTAAATACAAGTAATTTTCACTTGTTCAATTATCATTAGTCTGCCTTCAAATTATCAGAGTTCTGAAATATATGAATTATAAGCCTCTCTCTCTCTCTCTCTCTCTCCTTTCTCCTTCTTCTTTATCTCCTCCTTTCTCCCTTACTTCATCCCTTCACCCTCTGCTTCCTTTCTCCCCCTCCTATCATTCTTCCCTCCCCAGTCTTCACCTTCCTATATCGCCTATATATTCACCTGCCTATATCCCACCTCACAGATAACAATGTTTATTGAGAAGCAAGCTGCCTGGCTTCGTACGCTTCTCGTTAGGTTAGCAGGTTGAATTCTTTCCGGTATAGCAAATAAAGAGACCGGGCTGCCCAGATACCAATCTTAGTTGCAGACCTAACCTGTCTCACTCCGACTACTGGACTCCGCTAACTGTTGCTTGCTGCCTTAACCAGCCAGGAAGGTTCTGTGGAGCATCTATAATGGGCCAGGTTATACACCCGGCGTTTGGGACTGTGTGAGTGTGTGTGTGTGTGTGTGTGTGTGTGTGTGTGTGTGTGTGTGTGTGTGTGTGTGTGTGTGTGTGTGTGTGTGTGTGTGTGTGCTCTCAGGTGTGTACAGCTCCACCCCTGTCACACTGGTTCCGCTCTTCTAGAGATCTGGACGGGGCTGGTGACAGTACCGGGCGAGACAGTCTTCACCACCTGTCCCACAACAGCACGTCCACGGCGTGAAGACACTATACAGGGACCTCGACCCAGTTACACATGTCCCGGACGCGAGCAGCCGGGGGACACCGACCCCCCTAGCCCTGTCCGCGACCCCTGGATCAACAACCATTAAGATTCCGTGTCCATGAAATGAATATAAATGATACATATGAAAGAAAAAACTCACACATGTTGTGTATAATAGGCCAAGTTGCATAAGAAGCCGAATTTTCGTGAAATATTATATTTTTCAAGGTTTTTTTTTACTTATGTAATGTAATGGAATGATACAGCTTTCCACATGTCTACTTTTTTGTACTTTCATTCAAAGTTAACATAGAAATTTGCTAACACCTAACCTAATCTAACCTATTTAACGTAATGTAACTAATTCTTGTTCCTATTAGAATAGATTATAATTTTTAGAAAAGAACCAGTCTGGAAAGAAATATTTGAAAATAACAAAATTCATTTGCCTGTTAGGCAAATCAGACCTTGCATACTAGGCCAACTAATGCGATTCTGGCTGTTAGCCACCACACACACACTCAGTGAACTAACCCACCACAAAACACTGTGCTCAAAGAGGACACACTACCGCTCCCCAAACAAACTCCAGCGTGTTTCTTGCTCAAGTGAACAAACACCTTCCCGCCCCGCCCCCCCCCTCTGTCGCATCTCGTTTGGCAAGACGATCAACTGTCTATTTATCTCTCTACCTCTCTTTTTCTGTCTGCCGCTCTTTTCCTGTTTGTGTATTTACTATTTGTGCCTGCAGGAGCGCGCGCGCGCGCGTGTGTGTGTGTGTGTGTGTGTGTGTGTGTGTGTGTGTGTGTGTGTGTGTGTGTGTGTGTGTGTGTGTGTGTGTGTGTGTGTGTGTGTGTGTGTGTGTGTGTGTGTTTGTCTGCACATCTGCGATTATAGATCTAAGCTGTCTGTAATTACCTAAGTGTAATTACCTAAGTGTAGTTACAGGATGAGAGCTACGTTCGTGGTGTCCCGTCTTCCCAGCACTCTTTGTCATATAACGCTTTGAAACTACTGACGGTCTTAGCCTCCACCACCTTCTCACCTAACTTGTTCCAACCGTCTACCTCTCTGTTTGCGAAAGTGAATTTTCTTATCTTTCTTCGGCATCTGTGTTTAGCTGTATTCTGTACAGCTAAATCTGTATTCACCTAGTTGTGTTTACGGGGGTTGAGCTGTATCTCTTGGGTCCCGTCCCTCAAGCTTTAACTGACGGGTTCCCAATGAGACTGACAGATGCACATATAAAGCTGGGTGCGGAGTCTGTGAGTAATCCTGTGGTCCCGGGTTCGATCCCGGGCGCCGGCGAGAAACAATGGGCACAGTTTTTTTCACCCTGATGCCCCTGTTACCTAGCAGTAAATAGGTACCTGGGAGTTAGGCAACTGTTGTGGGGGGGAGGGGGGTGTGCAGCCTGGGGAGGGGGAGGGGAAGCCTCTCGATAGAAGCCTAATTATTATATATATATATATATATATATATATATATATATATATATATATATATATATATATATATATATATATATATATATATATATATATATATACATACATACATATACATACAAGCTTCCTGTCCCTCATAACAGGAGTCATTAATTATATACCTTTTGGCTTCCGTGTTTCTAGTCTACAAAAACTGGGTTTATATTAAGGCAAAGTTTGGGAGGAAAGTTAATAAAAGCACAAGTGATGTTTTATGGGTCGTTTGGGGCACACAGAGAGAGAGCCATGATAGTGTGCGTATGGCCCATCATACCCGGGGTATGTGCTCGGGTATACCCAACGGGGCAGGCGTAGGGGGGTATGCCACGTGCACCAGCATGATGAGGCATTATAATATTGTATACGTGCATAGGCATACAAATTTGCATTTACTACCCGGGGCACAAATATAGAGGCACGAGGTATGTATATTGAGAGGCATATATAGACTATATATATATTGTATTGAGAGGCATATATAGACTATATATATATTGTATTGAGAGGCATATATAGACATACTTGATGGCATACACGGGTAGGGGGGAGCCTGGGGCGGTGGGGGGGGGGGGGTTACTTGCACATATGCAAAGAATATATGTACTAAGAACATGTCGAGACGCACACACATATATCAAGGCCTGACACGGTGAATATCAGAGCGGGGGGGGGGGGTAGAGAGAGGCTATACCCGCATGGATGAAATAGGGTCATACAGAGCCTCGAGCAAGATCAAACACACGCACCATAGGGCCATAAGAAGCTTCTTAGAATCATAAGAGGCTTCGTAGGACCATAAGTCTTCATAGGAGCACAAGAGTCTTCATGTGACTATAGAAAAGCTCCACAGACACTGTACAGAACCAGTACAGAACCAGTCACACAGCGCCAAACTCTGACCAATCAACAAACAACAAATCCACAAGGGCCGTGACGAGGATTCGAACCTACGTCTGTAAGCATCCCAGACGCTGCCTTAATCAAAAATCGACGATCGGCGACCAATCACCAGGCCAACCACACTGGCGTGCTCGTGACCTTCAAGCACCAATCACCAGACCAACCACACTGGCGTGCTCGTGACCTTCAAGCACCAATCACCAGACCAACCACACTGGCGTGCTCGTGACCTTCAAGCACCAATCACCAGGCCAACCACACTGGCGTGCTCGTGACCTTCAAGCACCAATCACCAGGCCAACCACACTGGCGTGCTCGTGACCTTCAAGCACCAATCACCAGGCCAACCACACTGGCGTGCTCGTGACCTTCAAGCACCAATCACCAGACCAACCACACTGGCGTGCTCGTGACCTTCAAGCACCAATCACCAGGCCAACCACACTGGCGTGCTCGTG